GCCATCATATGCCAGCAATGCCCCTCTGCCATGTACATTGGCCAAACTGGATAGTCCCTACGTAAAAGAATAAATGCACACAAATCGGACATCGGGAATGGTAACATACAAAAGCCAGTAGGAGAACACTTCAATCTCCCTGGACATTCTATAGCAGATTTTAAAGTAGCTATACTTGAACAAAAAAACGTCAGAAACAGACTTCAAAGAGAAACAGCAGAACTAAAATTCATTTGCAAATTTAACACCATTAATTTGGGTTGAATAGGGACTGGGAGTGGCTGGCTCATTACAGAAGCAGCTTTGCCTCTCCTGGAATTGACACCTCCTCATCTATTATTGGGAGTGGACTACATCCACCCTGATTGAATTGGCCCTGTCAACACTGGTTCTCCACTTGTGAGGTGACTCCCTTCTCTTCATGTGTCAGTATATAATGCCTGCATCTGTAATCTTCCCTCCATGCATCTGAAGAAGTGGGTTTTTTACCCACAAAAGCTTATGCCCAAATAAATCTGTTAGTCTTTAAGGTGCCACCGGACTCCTTGCTGTTTTTGTGGATACAGACTAACACGGCTACCCCCTGATACTTGACAACATGGTTTTTGTAAAGGGAAATCATGCCTTATCAATCTATGAGAATTCTTTGAGGGAGTCAACAAGCATGTGGACAAGGGTGATCCAGTGGACAGAGTGCACTTAGACTTTCTGAAAGCCTTTGACAAGGTCCCTTCCCAAAGGTTCTTAAACAGAGTAAGCTGTCATGGAGTAAGAAGGAAGGTTCTCTCATAGATCAGTAACTGGTTAAAAGATAGGAAACAAAGGATAGGAATATGTGGTTTTCCGAATGAAGAGGTAAATAGCACTGTGCCCCAGGGATCTGTACTGGGACCAGAGTTGTTCAACATATTCATAATTGATCTAGAAAAGGGGGTAAACAGGGAAGTGGCAAAATTTGCAGACAATACAAAATTACTCAAGATAGTTAAGCCCAAAGGTGACTGAAGAGTTACAAAGGGATCTCACAAAACTGGGTGACTGGGTAACAAAATGGCAGATAAAATCAATGTTGATAAATGCAAAGTGATGCACATTGGAAAACCTAATATCAACTATACATATAAAATGATGGGGTCTAAATTAGCTGTTACCACTTGTGACAGGGTTGTGGCTCACCACTGCAGCACCTCCTCCTGGTCATCTCGAGGAATTAGTTCAAACCAGTAGAGCACCCCCTTCGGGTGGCGTCCCACCTGTTGTCTCGCCTCTGGTAGGTGCGCAGACTTGGATTGCTCCCCACACACAGCATCCTCTTCTGGAACACTGTCCTCCAACAGTGTCCATTTGTCCATTCACACCCCCTTCCGGGAGGCAGGGGGTAAAATCAACAGCCCCACACCTTCAAGCCTGATCCTTACAGTCCAGGACCTGGCGTGGTTCTGGCCGGCCGCTCCCTGCGGCCTATGGCTGTGTGTATGGCATAATAGAACACAAAAAGGGCGGGAAAGGGGGGGGGACTCTGGCCCGCCCACTACTCTGAGTCCCAGTCCAGAGGCCCTCTGGCAACAGTCTCACTGTCCTCCTTCTCCTTCCTCCTCTGACTACTCCTCTGGACCGCTTCCCCAACGGCCCTTCTCTGCGCTAGGCCTCCTCCTCCCAGGCCTGCCACCTGGCAGGCTATGGAGTAGGGCCTTCTCCCACTCTCTCAAGCTGGCCTGCACTGCACTGTCCGTGGTGCTGGCCTCCCAGCTCTGGAGACAGACCTTCCCCTCTGAAGGCCTGGGACAGACTGACTGCTCTCACTCTGAGCAGTCTTTTATGTGGCTGAGCTGGGCCCTGATTGGCTGGCCCCAATCTGTCCTCTGATTGGCTCCCTGTAAAACCCTTCTCTGATTGGCTGCGCATCTACGCAGGCGCCTAGGCCTGCTGCAGCCCACCCTCTCAGGGCGTGGGGCAGCTGCCCCACCACACCACTCAAGAAAGATCTTGGAGTCATTGTGGATAGTTCTCTGAAAACATCCACTCAATTTGCAGTGGCAGTCAAAAAATCTAACAGAATGTTAGGAACCACTAGGAAAGGGATAGATAATAAGACAGAAAATATCACAATGCCACTATACAAATCCATGGTACGCCATCACCTTGAATGCAGTTCTGGTTGCCCCATTTAAAAAAAATATAATGGAAAAGATACAGAGAAGGGCAACAAAAACTATTAAGAGCTGGAACAACTTCCATATGAGGAGAGATTAAAAAGACTGGAACTGTTCAGCTTGGAAATGAGACCACTAAGGAGGGATACGACAGAGGTCTAAAAACTCATGACTGGTGTAGTGAAAGTGACTAAGGAAGCTTCATTTACCCCTTCACAGAACACAAGAACCTCATGCTCTGGGTGTCGCTAAGCCTCTGACTGCCAGAAGCTGGGACTGGACGACAGGGGATGGATCACTCAATAAGGCTCTGGTCTGTTCCTTCCCTTTGAAGCATCTGACATTGGCCACAGTCAGAAGACGGGATCCAGGGCTAGATGGACCATTGGTCTGACCTAGTATTGCTGTTCTTATGTTAAGAAGAGATTTAAGTATATTAGGTAAAAAATCACTTCAAGTAATGGTATAGGCCCATTACTAGATGGACATGGTAAACATGTTAATAATGATGCACAGAGGCAGAAGGGTTCAGTACGGAAGCTTGCTGTGAATGGGCAAGCAGCAGATGGATAGGAGGGGGAGCGAGGTTGAGCTACTGAGAATTGGTGCGGGGAGGGATGGGAAAGGGGCAGCTGGCAACAGGCTGGGAAAGGGTGTCCCAGCAGTTCCTACTGGCATTCCTACAGCAGTTCCTTGGCAGCTGGTGCCCAGTGCCCTGTGCTCCTCCCATCCCTCACCCTACTCTGACAGCTGGCACATATGTTCCTGCCCCTCTCTGGGCCAAGTGTCTCCACCAGGACCTAAGGTGGTTGGAAGGCAGGCACAGGACTGGTGTTCCTACCTGCTCCTCGTGGCCGACCTGATCTTATAGGATGTTCCAGCCCCTCCTCCCAATCCCACTGTCATTTCCATGAGATATTGTGGGGGGGAACACTGCGAGGGACAGAAACATACATGAGCCCCCCCCCCCAAATATTTCCCTTGAGGGAGCACTAGTCCCCTACACTCATTGTTCCGCTGCCCCGGTTCAATAAGTATTTCTATTTTGTATTTGGAAAGAGGCAGGATGATGTACTCGTATCACATAGGGATGATGAAGTGCTTTCAACCTGATTAGTAAATGAGGAGGATGTTAATATCTACCAGGGATAAATATTTTTAAATTAGCAAGCCCAGTTAACTTGCACCCAAGAATGCTTAAAGAGCTGGCTGAGGATATTTCTGGCCTGCTGATGTTAATTTTTAATACATTTTGGAAAACCAGGACAATTCCAGATCACTGGAAGAGTGCTAATGCTATGCCAATATTCAAAAAAGGCAAGTGGGATGACCTGGGTAACTATAGGCCAGTTAGCCTTACATGAAGGCAAAATAATGGAAAAACTGATACAGGATTCAATCAACAAAGAATCCAAGAATAGGAATACAATTAATTCCAGTCAACATAGTTTTATGGAAAATACATCTTGTCAAACAAAACTGATTTCATTCTTTGAAGTGATTACAAGGTTGGTTGATAAAAATAACTGCATAGATATAATATACTTAAACTTTGGTAAGACATTTGAGTTAGTACCACATGATATTCTAATTAAAAATTAGCACTATACAATCTCAACAGAGCACATGTTCAATTGATTAAAAAATGGACAGATTCAAAAAGTAATTGTCAGTGGGGATTCACTGAATGGGGATGTTTCTAGTGGGGTTCCACAGGGTTTGGTACTTGACCCAACACCATTCAACATTAACTAAAGCTCCTGGAAAACAGCTGGGAGGAAATCTCTGTGTGTGCCACACTCACAGCCTGCCCCTTTAGGTAACGGATTAGTGACCCCCCACTCCAGTTCTCTAGTCCTCCAAGGAGGCCTCAAGCAGCATCAAGGAAGTCATGTCCTGGCCTCCCTGATATATCTATGATAAAAACAACAAACAAAACCCAACACACGCTTGTGAATGAAAATCCCATCCAGGCTTCTCCCTCCAGCACTAAGGAGCAAAATGGGGGCCAACACACATTTGTTTTCCCCATGCATGTCACCTTTAAAATTACCCCCATCTCTCATCAGGTCTCCTTGCCCCACCCACCCTGCTCCTCACCAGATGATAATGGCCACCAGCCTCATGATAGCTTCGTTGAGGCAGTTGAAGAACTCCTGCAGGGCCCGTCCCTTCTGCTTCATGCTGCCAATCACCAGGCCAAAGCACACGGAGAACACCACCAGGCCCAGCGCATTCACCCCATTGGCCGAGCCAGGGATGGGGATGGTTTCCTCAAAGCTCAGCACTTCCTGCAGGCTCCTAAGGGTGCGTGTGACGTTCTCCAGGGTGCCGGTGACATTCTCGGGCATGGAAGCCTGTGAGTTGGCAGTGGTCCCTGCTGTGACATTGCTGCTGTGGAGGATGGTTCTGGTGAAGACCCTGGTGCTGTACTGTGTCTTGTACTGAAATGATACACTATTATCAGCTGTGCCCACAAGCCTCTGTACGATAACCCTGCACTTCTCCACAGCTGATGAGCAGCATAAAGGGCCTGAGCCTGAACTCCCAGTGACTTGGCTAACAACTGTTTGTGCCTGTCTAATTACCTGGCTCAATGCAAGGATTCATAGACGTCTAGATCATAGAGTGTAAGGCTATAAGGGACCATTGATCATCAGGCCCGACCTCCTGTATAGCACAGGCCCTTACATTTCACACAGTTCCCCCTGTTGAGCCCAATAACTTGGGTTTAGCCAATGCAGAATTTCCAGAAAGATTCCGGTCTGGATCTGAAGATATCAAGAGATGAGAATCCACCTTTTCCCTGGGTAGCTGATCGAACTTTTTAAGTCTCTCACTGTCAGGCATTTTCTCCAAGCCTCACATGATTTGCGTGGATTTTTTCTGCACCCTCTCAATTTTTAAAACATCCTTTTAAAAATGTGGATCCCAGACCTGGACACAGCATTCCAGGGCCAGTCTCACCACTGCTGTTTACACAGGTAGAAACATCTCCCAACTCCTATTCACTGCACCCCTCTTTATCCATCCAAGGGTCGCATTAGCTCTTCCTGCCACAGCATTACACTGGGAGCTTGTGTTCCATGGCCTGTCCACTATGACCCCTAGATCCTTTCCAGAGTCACTGAATACAGGATCCGGCCCCCCATTCTGTAGGCGTGGCCTGCATTCCTTGTTCCTAGATGTCTGACTTTGCATTTGGCTGCATTAAAACACATACTGTTTGAATGGGACCAGCTTACCAAGTGACCTCGAGGCTGTGCTACTTACACTCAGGGAAAGAAGTTTCTTCTACAGCTCAGCAGGGGATGGTGCAATGGCTAGCTCTGTGAGTGGGGAATCCCATTTGGTGTCATTTTACATCCAACTGACACAGCTGGGCCAGATATTCGGGCTCCTGCTATGGGCCTTTTATACTGCTCCTGAGTGCACAGGTACTATAAAGGTGCGGGGGAACAGCCCTGAGGGACCTCCCCTTGTTCACAGGCACACACTGCCCCCTGGCAGGCCCCTGAGAGGAGCAAGCCAAGAGCAGGAAGGGTAGTGGCCAGACCAGTCTGTGCTCCAGCAATTCCGGCTGCTGACCAATCTATAGACAACTGGGCAAGGCTGCCTGAGAGCGGCTCTAATTTACACTGGTGGCTGCAGGGGTTGTTGGAGCAGCGCACTCGGGGAGGTGCAAAGGTGGCCTAAACCCATCCCTGGGGCTGCATCTCCAGAAAGGAGCAGTTCAGAGCGCAGCCTGTTCTGCACAGGCATAAAGGACAATCAGAGTGATGGGCAGAAAGAAGCAGGCATGGGGAACCGGTGTCCATACCTGTTTGAAGCAGGCTTCTACTAGGTTCGGCGGGAACATGTTCCTGCAGCAGATAAAAAAAGGAGGTTACGCTGCCATCTGGCTGAGAGCCAGGTGAGCAGGCCCATTGCCTGATACTCATGGTTAAGCGCAGGCTATAGTCAAGGTTAGTAAGAGCTCAATGCCAATAGCACTGAGTCTTCTTTCAGGTTATTCAGCGCCCTTCCAGATGCTGCCAAGCAAGAAAGCACTCTAGTCCCAAAAATAAAAGAATGTAAAACTTTAGCGCCTACAAGTCCACTCAGTCCTACTTCTTGAAACATTTAAACGTGGCTGTGCTCCCAAGTGGCAGCATGTGGCCCTGGACACTGGTCTGTGTGAGCTAGGTTTTATGCAGCTATGGATAGTGTCCTAGGATCATCAAAGTTAGAGAAGGAAAAGACCAGACCAGACCATCCTCTCCATCTCCATTCTCTGGCACAGTCTAATTTTAAGTGTCCCAAGCTGTGCAGCTTTCACTGCTTCCTGCAAGATGAGTTCCCCTGCTTGATACATCTCACTGTCCCACCCCCATGTTCAGCCCAAATGGTGCCTTTCTCTAGCTCATCAATCACTTACAAGTTCCTGGCTTCTCAGGGGCCCCCACTCTCCCCCGGCAGGCAGACAGAGCTACAGACAGTTCAGGGAGTCTCATTCATTTTGTTTAGAAAAAGTTGACACAAAACGAAAATTCTGGACTCCTCCTGCTCCATGGAAAATGTCAGAATTGTGAGTTTTCATTCCAATGTGGAACAATTTTTTAAAATTTTTTGAATTTCCTGTGGAATGGGAATTTGGGGTTCCAACCAGCCCACCTGAACTCCCTCCATTTCATCACTGCCTTTCTGATAGCAGGATGCACCGAACTGAAGGCAACATTCCAGGTGCATCACACCGGAGCCATCGAGAAAGGCACTACAATTTCCATGCACGGAGACATGATGCCATGTCATACAGCATCAAACTGCACTGGGCTTTTTGTAGCCATGTCTTAGTGCAAATTCATGTCTAATTTGCTGTCAGCTCTAAGCCTATTGGCTGGTTTCTTGAGTGTCTGTGCCTTGTATAGCCATTTACACCAGGGCAAAGTGAGTGTGAAGTGGGGGTAAATTGCTACCACATCAGAATAGTAGGACTTTACAGCTACTAAAAATGGTTCTGCTTAGCTTCTGAGGCTAGGGCAGGAAGCAATGGGTTTAAACTGCAGCAAGGGCGGTTTAGGTTGGACATTAGAAAAATCTTCCTGTCAGGGTGGTTAAGCACTGGAATAAATTGCCTAGGGAGGTTGTGGAATCTCCATCATTGGAGATTTTTAAGAGCAGGTTGGACAAACACCTGTCACGGATGGTCTAGATCAGTGGTTCTCAAAACTTATGTACTGGTGACCCCTTTCACATAGCAAGCCTCTGAGTGCGGCCCCCCTTATAAATTAAAAACACTTTTTTATAAATTTAACACCATTATAAATGCTGGATGCAAAGCGGGGGTTGGAGTGCAGGCTGACAGCTCACGACCCCCATATAATAACCACCTGACCCCCAGTTTGAGAACCCCTGGTCTAGATAATACTCAGTCCTGCCATGAGTGCAGGGGACTGGACTAGAAGACCTCTCGAGGTCCTTTCCAGTCCTACATTTCTACCTTGCATTGGTGTAAAGACTGCACAAGGTACAGGGCAGGGGAGAGTAAGGCCCTAGTTTTTCTCAGCAGCTCCTGCTTCCCAAGTGTCCCTGTGTTTGTGGTGGAAAAGGGGCTGCCTCAGATTATTTTTCCCCAGGCATATTTCAGAGAGATCTAGTTGCTGACCCTATTTTCAATCCCCCTTTGCATTGTTTCTCTCACTCCTACTATTTGCAGCTCTTCCCCCCAGGGAGGATTTCATAGCCTCAGGGTATTTTGTGAGAAGCTCTTTATTCTCTTCCCAAGCATGATTAAAGAGATTCAATACGACTGGACGAGGAGAACGAGGGACATATCTGTATTATTTTTATGAATACGATATGCACCTCAGTTTACCTGTTTGATATTATTCTATCTGCCTACACAGCATTAAATCAAAGGAGGCTGTTAGGGAGAACAAACATGAAATGAGAAGATGACAGAGCGAATATCTCCAGAGAAAA